GAAGAAAAGGAGATATTCTGCCATGTAAAAAAGTAATTTATTAGTGATTAATACTTTGCCATGTTTCCAAAAAATTCTGCATCTTAATTTCATGTTTCATTTTTTTTGAAGTTAACTCCACATTATAGATTTGCTTGTGATCTAGAAAAGTTGCAAGAAAAATCTCAGCTTTCCAAAGGAAGTTGGGTTGTGATTGACTTGGATTTCAGGATCATCCAATTTGTCCTACTATGTGCAAAATAGGAGCACGGAACCTGAATGAACTATTTGGGAGAGGAATGGGAGAAGTAAGGTGCCCTCAAGGCCTAAATGAAATTGGTTTTTGTTGTGGCTTTTTTTTTTTTTTTTTTAAAGAAGCCTAGCTGTTATGATTTTTGTAAAGCAAATCAATTTTCTGTAGCAGGGTATGTGAGACAACTAAGTCAACATGCATATAATGAACAGACATGCTTTGGATGTGTCAGGGTAAACTAGCTCAGCTTCTAATATTAATATAGCCACATTTGAGGTAAAGCTGTGCCTGGGCTAGTCGGCCCACTTCTTTAGGGATACCGCTAAATTTCAAAGTGCTGTCTTGATGAAGCTCTCCTGTCAGCTAAGGTATCACTACGCAGCACTGCCTTCACCTTGTAGACATGCCTACTGCTTTGTATTTGACACTGAATAAGCACCTTTTTTGACATTCTTGTCAAAGAAACAGTGAATCTAACAGGTCACAAAGATTGAATAACCTTTTGTCACTAGAGGTGTGGTCTCTTCAGGTCAGAGTGTTTGCGACATGCTGGCAGGCTTGTGCAGAACAACCCATGAATTGCATAAACTGGAGGATAGCAAGACCTTCTGCTTTCACGGGTGAAGTTTCCTGTAGGAATATTGCATTAACTAACTTCCAAGAAAGGATTAAAATACACTCAAAATTTCACTACCTAAATAGTCTTCTAAATTTTTGTAATGCAAAACTAACCTGTTTAAAATTCTGGCAACTTATTTAAAGTTTAAACAATATCTAATTTTTTATTCAAATAAAATAAATTGGTTTTACCAGTCATATTTCCCACCGCAGTTTTAAAGAAATGTAAACAATTGGGAGAAGCCTCTGTGTAAGCGACTGAAACCTGTTTTGTTGTCAAGATGATAAACTAGTTTCTGATGACGGTAACCATTCCTGCAGGTAGAGAAAAGGATCTTTCTTTGCTTCAGTTTATTCAGTTCAGTTTTGTGACTGAGCTCATTTAGAGTTAAGCAAAGGAAAGAAAGAAAAGCTTGTATTTAATTAAAAATTAAGGTGTCTTGCTTCCTGTTTGTTTGTAATGATTAATGGTTCTTTAGTAAAATAGCTAAAATATATACTATTTCAAATGTGTTAGTAATAAGACATTTTTGTTTGTGACTTGTTACATCTTCACAGTTTTTTAAATCACTTTGACTTACATCAGTGTGCTCTGCAGACTGCACTGTAAATTTACACGTGTAAGCCAAGGCAATGATTCCATATGTACAGACAAGAAAAACAGAGGCTTTTTACAGCCTGGACCCATTTCTACCTTGGGGTTTTTTGGTTCTTTCTAATACTAGGTGAGGAGTGTTAATGTTGTTTTCTAAAGCAGTATATGCTGATTTTAAAAAGTAGAATTATCCTCAGTTCCTCTTATGTCTGTGAGTTCCCTGAAGTGGGAAAAATGAAAATCTGAGTGCAACAAGCTAACATCCAGGTCTTTGCTTGGATAATTGCTCTTAATACATTAAAAATGTATGAAAATAGTCCTTGACTTTTTGCTCCTATAAGGATAGGGAGATCTTGTTTGTGGCATTTATTATTACTATTAATATTATTAATATTATTATAGCAGCTGTATACATTTAAACTGTTATGCATGTTAGATTTTGAGATTTGTAGGTAGAAATATTTTTCAGGTTTTCTTATGAACACGAGATGACTGTATTTGAGCTAAAAATCTTGTAATTTCGATTTGTATTTGATACGTTATCTATCACATTATGCAAAATTAGAGGAGAATCTTGCTTACTGTGTGGTAAATGTGCATTTGCCCTGCTTCCTGATAGTAGGAAGTACTTTAAAAAAGAAAAAGGAGGGGAAAAAGAAAAAAAAAAAAAAAGCCACCTGGAAGTCTGACTTTAACCTCATGCTCCCCACAAAATGTCCTAGATTGTCCTGTTTTTATTTCCTAAGTGCAGTATCTTGCAGAGATGCTTTGTGTACTCTCAGGATGTGAAATTTCCTCCCATATATTTATTGAATCAAAATGGTTAGCAGAATCTGAAAATAGCTTATAAGGTAATGAAATAATACAGTCACTTAAATGTTTTTAATATTGACTGCTTAAATAGGTTTAACCCCTCATGTCTCAAGAGAGATTTGCCTAATCTGTATTTATTTGGGAAGAAATTTCCCTCTAAGGACATCTTATATTGTGTCCATTGCGGTGGATTTATCCAATTCTGCGATTCATCTGGTACTGGTGTTTGACAGAGATGGGGACTGTACAGTGGGACTGTAAAGTAGATGACAAATTATTTCTAACATAAGATGGAAGTTCAATTAAGTTCACTTTACCTTTTCACATGTAAGATACGTTTGGCCAAACTCTGCGTGTGCAGTTTGCCTTTCAAAAATGGTAAGTTCTGTTTGTAGGTATTCAGGGTGCTGCTCCTTAATGTTTGGGAGCTGTGCAGTGTATTTCACCATGTTAAGAAGAGTAGACTTTTTTGTATTTAAGTAGGCAAATGTCGAGGAAAAGTGTAGAAGTCAGCAGCAAGTCATGTCAGTGGTTCAGTAGGTGGCACTCTTTCTCTGAAATTACTGTCCTGGTAAAGTATTTCTAGGAATGATTTGGTAAGAGAGGCGTTTGTTGAACGTGACATAAAATACATTTTGATAACTTGATCATTGGAGCTCTTATAATGCATTTTCCAGGGTTATGAGGTTGTTAACCTTGCTCATAATGTGTAATTGCATTTTGTCTGCTGCAATTCCTCTTACAATTCCAGTAGGATGCACTAGTATTCTGCACTTTTTGCCTCAAGCTGAGTTATAGATAAGCTGTGGAAAGAGGAGGTGCTGTTTTGTCAGAGATGGATTAAGTGTTTCATACTATTTTTAGAGTTTTTGTGTTAAGTCTACGTAAAATGTTGCGTGGAACTGTTGAAATGAAGTGGCCTCTCCAGCAGCGCCTATTGTAGGAAACCAGTAAGGCTGACAAAAGCAAGAAGTTGGCAGCAATTTTAAAAGTGTGATAGGATTTTAATACGAAGAATTAGCACGAGTAGAGGATTCTTTGAAAATGTGGGTTTTTTCTCTGAATACTTAAAATAGATTCCTTTTAGGAGGTAGACAGGGGTAAGGATGCTGAATTGGCAAGCTATTTTAACCTCAGTTGTAATTAAGGTTGAAATGCCAAAAAAAAAAATGTCTCTCTTTTTTTAAAAAATAAGAAAAAGTGTAAAAAATACTGGCTTGAAAATATAGCATTACATTTTTCCAGGCAAGCCATATAAAATGCTGAGCAGTGTCTTGGGAAGATGTATTTATCTAATACGGGATAATCTTTCTTTTGTAAAATGTTTCTGTTGTGAAATATAACTAGGTTTTCTCTGTAAGTTAAAGACATTTGGCCATGTTTATGAGTTTTTTTTTAAATATTTCCATTCCTCATTTTTCTCTCATTGTGATAAAATAAACAGTTAAAAAACACTACAATAGTAGGAGTTTAAAAAGATATCTTAATTTTTGTGACATTCATGGGGTGCAAAAGTGCTGTGGCTTTTTTCATATTCCAATGCTCATTTTCATAAAATGTCCATTTCAAAGAAAGTTACTGTGTGGTTTTAATACACTATACATACTTTTAAATTGTCACCAGGTGCATTTGCATGAGGTATGTGGACATAATGTCTTGAAATGAAACACTTAAGTGTGTTGAAGATTTATTGTATGTTTGGAATGCTTGTCTGATTAACCCTTCCCTAGTCCTTTTATTTATAAGTGTCCTTTAACATGGACTTGTGTTTTTATAGTCTTTCTTGCACTATTAAGTCACGATGACCTAATTATGACAGATACATGAAAGGAAAGCATCTATGTTGGGACTCAATGCACACATTTTTAATTAAATAGAATATGAAGGTTGATAGTGTTATGCCAATACTTGCTGTATAGGACATGAAAGTAGTTACTGTATGTGACAGTCCATTCTAAAATGGGGAACTACCTTTTTTTCACGTGAAATATTTTTAGATCTTGTTACTGGTCAGTTCAGAGACTGAAAGAGTTAAGAACTTAATGTGAGGAGCTGTATGAAAGTAATTTGAGGATGCCTTACATGCTGACCAGCATGAGGAGACAAGTTTGCCTAGGCCCAGAGATAAAATAGAAGGGCCTCCATTTATGGCATTTCTGGTAATACTCTGTTGGAGGGGAGGGAATCCATATGAAAAAGTAGGCAGAAAGGTGTTTGGCAACACTTACTGGGCATATGTCTGTAATGAGATATTTTACGCATATTTTGTATACTTAGGTCATTCTGTTCTGATTTCAGATTCACATCAGAATATCCTCCTTGTGAATACACTTGACTTTAGTGGGCCTAGAATGGTTAATTCCAAGTAGAATGAGCCCCTTTATTTAGAATGCACATAAGAAAGCGTGCATAATGATGCATAACTGTGTCTAGGTGTACTCTGGCAGTTTCATCTTCCTACATAATCCATGTTTTGATTGAGTTAGTTGTACATCTTTAAAAATCCAGTTTGGATTAGAAACTTAGCCTGTTAAGTTAATGCAACTTTCTACTGACAGTCTGCTTGACATTCCATTTACTTATCTTCATTAATATATATTGGCTGAAAAGATATTGTTCAATGTGGTATGTTTGACTTTCAAGCAAAAGCTGATTTCTGTATTAAAACTCTTAAGCTGAACAGTAGTTTCATTTTCATAGTCCAATTAAGTTGTTTTATGGCAATATTATTCTTCCTTATAGTTAACACAAGAAGAATGTAGGGGTACACTATACAAATATAGAACTGAAGAGCTGGATATTGATGTAAGTCATTTGTATTTCTTCTTCCTTGGAAATGTTGGTATTTGTCTCTATTTTGATAGTAATTTCCCCCTTGACTTTTGGGTTTGAAATGCAGTTCATACAGGTGATTGCCAAGAGAAATTGCTTTGTGAAATTGAAGGGCATAAGATTCTTTTTGTAATAAGCTTCTAACGTGCAGGAAGTATTATATTTTAGGCTGAAATTTCAAAATCTGTTCAAAGGTGAATTGCTTCTAGAAAGGAATTAACTGCTTTAGAAGGGAAAAGCTCTGTAGCTGTAGTTCAGTTATAAGCATGAGAGGTGTAATTTCTCAGGAAATGTGACCCATGTTCCAAAACTGAAATTTGGCATGGGTAGTTACCATTCAAAGTATTGGGTTGCTAGTTACTAAAGAAAAGGGGCTTGATGTTTAAAGTCAGTTTTAAAATTGGTGGCAAAAAATACACACATGTAGTCATACTGTATAGGCAAACATATGCATGTCTAGTCATTCTTGCACAATGCAACTAAGAGTAGAGATACTGATTTAGGGGATGTTCTTTTAAGAGTAAAAAAGAAAGCAGACTTCCAGAGTTATCTTAGAGTTAAAAAGTCAGAACAGCGCAAAATGAACCAAAAAAAGTTGTCCAAATAGAAAAGTAAACTGGTTCAAATTGGTTATAGTGCACTGAACAGTTATTTGCTCAAAGTGGAGCTGGACTGGAACAGTTTTAGTCATAGCCAACCCTTGATCGGAGGTAAAACAAAGCAGAACACAGATAGTATTAGTAACTAACTATTAAAAACCTGAAATAAGCCATGGGAAAGACTGTGAATGTATGCAGTAGTCTTTATAATACTAAGGAATATGTAAATTAAAATGGTATTTAATACCTATTATTAAGTTGTAAAGATTTAGTTGTAGAATCATAAATTACATGTTTTGAGCCATGCTGTTTGAAGTTATAATAACACTTATTTCATAGTATCTTAAGAGGGTTTCTTAAGGTTAATTTGAAAATACAACACTGATGCCTTCAGAGTTTTAGAATTTAGAATTTTCAGAATATTTCGTGGTAATCAAATTTTATATAGATTCTTGTAATGATTTGATCAAGTTATATTTTGATTGCTGAAGATGTTAAAAAATGAAATCCTAATTACGATCATTTTCTGTTATATACTAGGCTAAGCTTAGCCGTTTATGTGAACAAGATAAAGCTGTACAAGCACTGGAAGAGAAGCTTCAACAGCTACACAAGGAGAAAGTAGGACAATTGTATTTATTACTTAAAGTGGATGTTATTTTACATGCTTATTATCAGAACATTGGTAACTGAAATAAAATGAAAATCAGCCCAATGATGCAGAACATTAAAAATAATTCTTTTTATTATAATAGTACACGCTTGAGCAAGCTTTGCTATCAGCAAGTCAGGAGATAGAAATGAATGCAGATAATCCCGCAGCCATACAAAATGTAGTCTTACAGAGAGATGACTTGCAGAACGGACTACTTAGCACTTGTCGAGAAGTATCGCGAGCTACTGCAGTAAGTAATACATTCTTGCCAGTAAAACTCAATGAATTGTTAAACAATTATCTTCATGTTCATGTTGTTAATTGGGTTGTCTTTGGTTATTTTTCATTACGTTCTAACAAAACTCAGTTGTCTTTTACTTGCTTGTATTTTTGTCAAAGGCAGCTGGAAAGTGATCTTTTCACTATATTCATCGAGTAGTCTTCCTTTACTTTTACTTTTTTTGGCCAGGAATGAGTGCATACTGACTTTAATTGGTGTGGTAATTTTCATCTTTATAGTTTGAAAAATTTATTACAGAGGAAGAAAATAATGCAAATAAGCTATTTTATGATATGTGATGGCAAAACAGTAGCAAGCACAAACTTTATCAGATATTTGATCAGATAGGTGACTTATTTTAAGCAAAAGCAGCTGCAGGATGAAAAGAAGAAAAGACTATACTGTCATGGTCTCTCTTTAATAGTGGGCCATTATATTTAAAGATGTTTCAAGTTATGCACTTTCAAAAACCTTAAAAAAAAAAAAAAAAGGAAGGGAATTGCTGTTTACTGTCCTTTTCCACTTCATGATGGTTTCTACACTGAAATGACAAAGTAAAGAATCATTTTTGTGTACTTACATATGTATCCAAAAAGGTATTTCAGTGTCAAGTTCCAGTGGTTTACTGTGGTGAAATTGACAGGAAGTAGGCCCTGAAATACTGGTTTTAGTCTGAAGATTAGACTGTTGTAAAAGGAATTGGTTGGACAAGCAAAAGAGAATCAGGGGAAGGAAATCCTCAAGATATAGTTTCCCTCATTAACTTTTTAATTTATGCTAAATTGAGTAAATTGCTTGATGTAGGCTTAAAAAGTGAGATGGTAGAGCTGACCTCAAAGGAGGCTTTCTTTTTGCACCTTCTCCCTTCTGCTGTTCGTAGTTTCACATACGTAAAATAATGGTGTATTAGCAGGCCTGGGGCATTCACTGGTAACCTTACAGGCAGGGTTGGATGACTTATATTTGTCTTGCGTAATACGTTGCATATGCACACACAGGCTGTACACTCACACGTATGTATTCTATGTGATAAAAGAGACAAATCTGCATCCATTTTTGTGGGGTTTCTGCCTCGGTGGAAGGACAGCTGAAGACCCACGTGCCTGCTGACTATAAAGACATCTTCTGAAGATTTTGCCCTTGCCTGTCTTTTTTGTTTGTGAAAAGACAAAATGCTGTTTTGTTTTAATTCCATTCAATATCATTAGAAAATCAAAAATCTGTTTATACATTGCATTCTCTAAAATACATATTTATTTATTGCTGATATTGATTTATGCATTACTTCCTGAAGTTTCATGCCACTGAATAAAGAAAAATAAATATACTTTTTTTTTTTAAACTTGAATGTGCAGCTGTAATTCTTTACTTTTGTTATATATTTAGGAACTGGAAAGAGCTTGGAGAGAATATGATAAATTGGAGTATGATGTAACTGTAACAAGGAACCATATGCAGGAGCAACTCGATCGGCTTGGAGAAATTCAGGTGTGGCATACGTCTAACAGGACATTTAAGTCACTTTCATTTTCTATGATTTTGTTTAAAAACTACACAAATGAAAAAAGGGGGACATGGTGCATTAGCTCACAAAGTATAAAAACAAATTAAAAGTTTGTAAGTTCTGAGGAGGTCTTCAGCTTTTCCTATTTTTTTGAAGCTACAGCACAGGTTTTCACGTGTCTGGAAGCTTCCTTTTTCTGTTGCAGTGACGGTGTCCAAAACGGGGTAGTTTTCTCAGATCTTGATTGCTATGACAGTCATAGTAAATCTTCACACAAATCCTTCCATTTAACTGAATATTTTACAATGTAATTAAATCATTCTATCAAAATAAACTATAATAAAAAATATTCTAAGCATTGCTTCAGGTCTTATATATGAAGAGTTCTGACGTGTTTCTTATTAGCTTGCTGTGCTGTGGAAGATTGGACAGTTAGTATAAGTTCTGAATTTCGACGATCTTTCTGTGAGACACACACACACACACACAGATGTGCATACATTATCTGGAATAGGCAGATGGGTGTGGTCCATGCTGGGAGGCATTAAAGGCTATTTGCTCCAGGGATTGATTTTCTATGCAGCTATGAAAGGGAGATTACAAGGAAGTCCAAGAGCTGAGAAATTTGTGTTATGCAGTCCAAAGCATGCGTGGCCATGAATGCAAATAGGCCCACAGTTTATATGCTGGTATGCAAACACCGTGTCCATCTCCACCTATTTTAGAGTTGGAACTGATGATTCCTTTTCTTTCGTTGTATGTAGGTCTCCTGTGCAAAGTTTGTTTGGATCTTCTTTGGAGACAATAGATACAATTCTGTTCTTAAGTGGAGTTTGAACTAGCAAATCATTATCAAATTAACTGACACATTATGAAATTACTTAATCTTATACTTTTTGTTTCTGACAATATTTGAATGTTGCATTTTTATGGGAAAGGAGAGTGTCTGTCATTACTGCATTTGATTCTCCTTCATTAGGAAAGGATATGCAGTGTAGTCTCAAGAAAGAAAAAGGTTTTCTAGTTTTTTCCGCTCGCAATGTTTTCTAATTTATCACCTATATATGCTGTTTATTTACTGGCAGACTGAGTCAGCAGGGATACAGCGTGCTCAGATTCAGAAGGAACTGTGGAGAATTCAAGATGTCATGGAGGGTTTAAGTAAACATAAACAGCAAAGAAGCTCTTCAGAGGCAGGTAAACTGATTGGTTTTATCTTGTAGGAAGTGAGATTGGATCATATGCATTTTTAAAGGATAAGCTCCATAGTTGCTTTTGTATGTTTGAAAAAGAAAAAGTACAATTGCTAAGAAAAGAAGAAAGCAATCATCTATTTTAAGTTGATGCTTTGTGTATTTGATAGCAACAAGTTATAGTTCATATTTTAAAAGCTATTTATTGAAAACAATTTTTCTCTTTCTTTCTATGCCTTTCCCCCTCACCCCAAATAGGCATCATGGGATCAAGGACATTTTCAGCTATTAAATATAAAAATGAGGTATGGTTTTAGTATATTAACCATTTTAGCATCACTGAATTTCTAATATACATATGATAAAAATTAGCATTATTATAATTAAGGATGTCTGAAGCATGTATTCAGTATGTTTCTGTGAAAATACTGCATTATGAATTAGTTTTAAAGACTGATGTCTCCACTAGTAATTCTAACACTTTCATTTGTTCTGTGTCTTTATATTCTCACTGGTATATTTCTCTTTTCCATTTCTCACCTTTTCCTCTCCCTAGGCTCTTACCCTAGAAATTATAAACCCTGATTTATGGATTTGTTTTCTACCCACCACAGTTTTCATGGGAAGAAATACATTGCTTTATATGTCTATTCACACATTGAGCCTGGTTCTCAGATGGCCAGAGCACCCACAAGGACAGCTGAAACTGTGGGAGCTCCCAAATGTTCAGTTCCTCTGAAAATCTGGCTAGAAGTTGCAGTTTTAAAGGGACATTGTCATGGGTGTCTAAAGTTTATGCAATGTACATCTGGCTTACAGAACTCTCTAAAAGTCCGATTTATATACAATTCTTTAAAAAGATATTGAATTTAATTTTTAAAAGGATGATTCAGAGAGTTCATACATGTCCACAACAAAGTGCAGGTGTTAGAATTGAAAATCATGGTAAGCGGAATAATGAAACTATTGAAGAATCTCAGTCTAGGTGGTAGTAATAAAACAAAAAACAAACAAAAGAACAAAAAATAACCCAAAGAAACCCAACGAAAATAAAGCTGTCTTGGCCTTTTTTTTTTTTTTTTAGTGTGACATTGTCCCTTTAATTCCAAAATCTATAGCTGGTGTAGCTATGGTAATCTATTTTTCTTTTTAAGTTATAAATAATTGTAACAGGTGTGCACATCTAAATAAGGTGACTATTCTACAATCTTTAGGAAGAGGAAGTAGTCCCACCTCGTCCTCCACTCCCTCGGTCCTATGACTTTACAGAGCATCCTCCCATAATCCCCCCTCTGCCCAGTGATAGCAGCTCCTTGCTCTGTTATAGCAGGGGCCCAGTACATCTGCCAGAAGAAAAGAAGATTCACCAAGTTCAAGGATATCAGAGAAATGGATCTTACTGTGTAAGTGGCTTAAACTGCCACATTGTTCTTGAAACATCCCCCTTCCCTTGCACAGTCACAATTTTTATTTTGTCATCTGGCTACTTTTGTGTTACGTTTTTACTTTGGGCTATTTAGTTTTATTTATAGCTCCATCTTTTGCTCTGCACATTTTCCTGTCATATATTCTGTGCATATAAATGTCTTAAGACTTAAATGCCTGCATCTGAGTAAATTTCAGAAAATTAAATTCTTCTACTCACAAGTTCTTAAAAAACTCTAGGCTCAGAATCAATTTTTGCTGAAGCCTTATACAACTTTTTTCCTGAAGATCATTTAAAAGAAAAAAAAAACAAAACCTCTGCATTTTTATGGCAATTTTTTCTGTAATTTCTGAAAGTCTGCAAATGTTGTTACTCAAATTAACTACAGAAAAATACTGCTGCGATAGCACTTGAACAATGAAACATTGTCTTAAAGTAAGAGCAGAGTCATCACAACATAACTCTTTTGAGTCTTAAGACATAAATGCTTGTAGAAAAATGCCTGTTTATTTACCTCATAACTTGTCATTCCTCAGGGTCCTGACTATAGGCTTTATAAGAGTGAACCGGAGTTAACTACAGTAGCAGAAGTGGATGAGTCTAATGGCGAAGAAAAAACAGAACAAATTTCAGAATCAGAATCTACTACTAAAGGTTTGTCCCCAGGCATGGTGTTTACAACCTTTCAGCCTTTTTCACAAGGAATACAAAGCTTTAACTGTGTTATAGAAGCTATGTCATCCTTCGAATTTTTGTAGCCCATCCATTTCTTAATATGATGAAACAGCTTCCACGATAAAATAATTATTTAATTATATGACGGGAAAGATTTCAGTCAATTACACCGCAGAAAAATCAAACATTACACTCACCAACAACCCTGAAATCCTTATTGACACCATGTCTAATCACATCGCTCACATTCCCCACACACCATTCCCTTGAACAATTACCCGTTTTATGTTCTTGCCCTTGAACAATTATTCAGTTTTTGAATCAAGCTCCTGATGTTATGTCACTGGAACGTCCAAAAAGGCAGCACCACAGAATTTTCAGGCTCTCGTAAGGCAGGGAAACAATGTCTTTTTCTTTTTTTAATCTTGTAATTGTTGAATTGCCTTCTGTCCTCCAATATAATAGAAATAATGATGATGACCTTGGAGTGTACAGACAATAAAGGTCTTTGCAATTGCTAAATGCTTTAGATTCTTCTCTTCATCTAGCTTCCATAAAAGCTACTAATTGCTTGGTAGAGTCTTTTACCAAGAAGTGCTTCTCAATTCTGTTTGTTAAAACACACAGAATAGTTTGTTAAAGGTGACTTCAGGAAAAACAGTTTAAGCACCTCCCAAAACCCATGTTAAGAGCTTTTAGAAAAAGTAACTAAACTTATCCATTTTTTTTTACTGTAACAGGTGATGTTTCCAGTGCCAGCAAGATCACTGCCTCCTGTTATGGTAGTTTGACTAAGCATGTACATAGCAGGCTGGTGCAACAGTACCAGAATTTGACCAAGAACTATGATCATATAAGGATATTATTTTCATCAGAACAGTAATGGAGCTTTTTTAAAACTAAGGCTAGCATACAGTTTGGGCATAAACAATGTGAATGGCCCTATGATATATGATATAATGAAGCTTGCACTTACCAGACAATTAGTCAGTTCATATTCACTGTGGTATTTGCTGAGGTATAACGTTCACTTTAGATAGATACTAATTCTCTTACAACATGGTGGTGAAAAGTGCAAGGTTTAGCCTGAGATTTGCAAATCATCAGCCACCTAAACTGAGGAAGCTGCCTTTCTGACAACATACCTAGATTTTGTTGACCCGTGTTGTTCCAGATTCCAGGTAATTTATGACAAGAGGGTAAGTAATTGTCAAGACAATATAAGAAAGCCTGCACTGATTATATAAAGCAAACCAATACTTTTTGAGCACCCTAATCTGCTTTCTATCATTTTCTGTAAAGACAGAAGTAATTTTATTATGTCCATTTGTAGAAAAACAGTCCTCAGTAAGGGAAAGCAATAATACGAATTCTTCTTATATAAATAATATTTGGGGTTGGGGGAGAGAATAGCTGCAGCGGCAGCAAGTTGCAAGAGCCTTTTTATCTTCTTAAAACAACAGTGTGAAGTGGGTTTGTCATAGCTGTGTTTTATCATCTGGTCCACGCTTTTGAGCATGCAGATTTTCTAACAGATATTTCTTGTTCTATGTATTTACTTATAATAACAATCCTCATGCAGTAGGAAAAAATATAACCATTCCTGTGGATTTTTTTATAGTGCTTATGCAATTACAACTATATGCTGTTTCAACAAACATTTTTATGCCATTCTATCTTAACAGTTTATAAGCTGAAAAGGAAACAAACTCAAAGGCAGCTCATCTCTGCAATTTTTCTTTCTTGCTGTTTTAAGAAGTCATACTTATATGACATAGTTTCCTGTTGAGGGCGGTTCTAAAAATTAGTAAATGTCAGAGGAAATTTTAAAAATGCCTTTCTAGTTCATTGTGCACGTTACTGTACTAGACACTCCTCATGTTTCTTCTGTCAGCCATTTCCCTCTCTCTTCAAATGTCAACAATCAAAGAGAAACATTTTAGTGGGACTATGTAAAGTAACCCTTACACCTGTCTGCAAGCAGAGGAATATTTATGACCTCAGTGGTGCATAAAGGTGACACAAAAGGAAAATGGACTTCTGCTGTGTTTTATCCTTTTTACATCTAAAGGAGACCCAAACTGTTGCTTTATAGTTTTTGTTTTGAATGATGGATTTGGTATTCAAATAGCTCCAGACTATTTTGTCAGCCTGTCAAACAATTTAGAGAAAGAGTTGAGCCTTCACCAAGTCCATATATCCTCTGAAATCTGTGCAAATTCAGGAAAAACAGGGAGAAATAATTTGGCCATCAAAGAAGACATTATATCTATTTTTAGGCAAAATCAGTGAGGAAACAATATTTTTAATAGTTTGATTTCCTGCGTGTATCAAGACACAAAAATGAAGCATGAGTTATTTAATTATATCTGTATATTTTGGTAAGTTTTAACTTACTTCAGTTTCCTGCCAGCTTAATTGCATTTTGGCAGGGCTTCTCTAAGTAGAAAAACTAGCGGTGGATATTGTTACGAGAGGTTGAATGTAGCGGACATCAGGACACAGAATATCGTCAGCTCCCGACCAGACAAAGCCTGGCTGCTGCAGTTCCCTGTCCCTAAGTACAGCAAGCTGCGAGGCTGAGGACATAGTCCCACTGTCACAAGCACAGCCACAGCTAACCACAACAGATAATGCAAACAGGGTTGAGACCAGTGCTGTTGCAGGCACTGCATAAACAAGACCAGCACTCACATGAAGGTGAAACACCACAAATAGCATGATCCTGTTCTCACTTACCAGCTGACCAGGCTCAAAGCTTGCTAGCTGATATCATACACGTATAGACATGACCACACATGTGTGCACATACACACAAATGAGTCCTTCCAAGAGCTGACCAGACCTATGGTGTCTCCATCAGTCAACCCCCAGTACCTCTGGCCTCTCCAGTATCTGAATCCAAGACCTAAGGTCCCTTGGACAGATGGCTCCCACACCTTATATTCCGCTTGCCATCTAGTCTCATCTTAAGTTTGCTAGCATCTCGCAGACAAAAGGTTCCCCCAGTAGCAGGTCCAGACTTACAGTCCTTCTGGTAGCCGACCCACAGACCTGCAGTCTTTCCTCCTCTTTGTCCCTCAGACCTATGTATGATCTCTCTGAAGCTGTCCCCTACTGGCAAGCTGTCCCCTAGCCTGGCTTGAAGATCACTAGCATATCTCATGGTCTCATATGCAGAAGGGAAAGCATACTCACATGGAAAATACTTAAGAATAAAGTTTAATAAGAGATAGGACAGACTGCAATGCTAAGGCACGGGGCTTGGTCAGACAAGCATACTGACAAACGGCTTGTTTGTGCAAAGCTGGCCCCTTTTATTCCCCCTGCTCACCATTATTCCATGCCTGTTCTTTCCCATCTGTCTTGCCCCATGCCTTTCACAGCCTTTGTTTCTTCCCAAATGAACAACCCACGCATAACTACTTTTTGTTTCTTGGTCCCACTTTTGCTAAATTTTGTATCTTTGACACCATTACCTAGGTAAGCTTGTCCTTAAGTGGTAGCACTGATATGGTTACCTAGGCACTCTGCTGGCCTGGCAAGCTCTGTTCCACAAAAAGTTCCCAGTACTGACATCCGATCGCCTGTGAGGTTTGGCCATCTTTCACGTAATTCCCCCTTAACTATCTGTGAAATCTAGCCATTCCACACAGTGCTATCTAACTTGTCTGTTTCTCAGAGACAAAATTTTTGTTTATATTTTTATGTCCAGCAATTTCTTGTGCCATGTGCAGTAGTTTCCCATGGGGAAAGTCATCTGCCTGCCTACCGTAACAGGCGTGATAGTTAGGCATTAAGATCTTTGCTGTCTTTCGAAGAATAGTTTCCAAGGCTGACAATATGTATTTTCTAGAAAACAATAAGCTGTTTTGGCAATGTTTTGCATAGCACTTAGTATATTGCTTTGCTGTTTTGCAGGCTCACATTTTCCTGTGGGAGTTGTACCACCCAGAACCAAATCACCAACGCCAGAGTCTTCAACAATAGCATCCTATGTCACTTTGAGGAAGAATAAGAAGATAGATCTAAGAACGGTACTTTAAAATAACCTTTGAGCATTGATGGATAGTGATGTGTTCATTTCTAAGTTCAATTTCTGTACTTACTTCAAAAGCTGTAGTTATCTTTCTAATTTTCTTTACAAAAAGATTCACTTATAAAAATACAATATACTAAGTTGATGGAGACAGCTGTAGAAAGAATGACAAAATTATAAAGGTCATGTATGTTAAACTGCATAGAGACACTCAAACAGGGCAAGAACTGAATGGTAATGAAAAATCTACTAAGCTAATGAAGTTCAGGCTTGAGCTGAAAGGACATGAAGCATCTTAGGTTAAAGCTTTGAAGGACTTGTATTTTGCTTCTGGGGCAATTTAACAGCCCTTGTATAACAAATACTGGCTTTTATTTATTTCATTACTAAAATGATCTGAGAAATACCTAAAGCAGACAGAAAATAAGGATACAGTAAGCAATATGTGGGTAATAAGCCTGGAATTTCAGATTAGAGAGTCCTGTAGTCTCTGGGTTGAAGACAGACATTTACATGTAGTTCATGCAAAAGGGAGGAAAATTTTTACCATAGTTACAGCACGAATAGAAGAGAAGTTGTAGGAAGAATGGGAGAGGGGAGAGAAACTCACAGGATGTTGACTGGAGAAAGAATACCACTTCAGAAGTGAAATCAGTTACTGTGAATGTACTGAATGCAGCTGATTAGCCTGAAGTAGATTTTTTTCTGTCATACAAAGTAGAGATCTATCTGAAAATCAGTGAATTTCAAGAACGGAGTAGGTAAGGTGATCATTGTTATTTTGGGAATAACACAATGCTTAGAATTACAGATTTTTAAGTGGTGATAAATTCACTTTGTTTCAGCCTGCACTTGCTGTTAAATGATGGCCAGCTGTAGGTTTTCTTGGGGCAGGGGGAGGCAGAAATCACTATTAGATCAACTGGTATAAATGTCCTGGATCATTAAATTTGGATTGTTTCTGTCTCAGTCAAGTAACTTGAGTTTGCCTGTCATTTAATGTCTGGTAAATTGTTTCAACTTGATAGGATGGCTTTAAGAGCGCATCTACCCATTCTCTTAATGTCTATCATTGATGGTGGTAATGTCACTGTTCAAAAAAGCAAATTATTTTGAATTTTGGTGTTCATTTATTAATAATTGGTTCTTGTACTTTCTTCACATACATAGAAGATCTTTACTTGCCCACTATTTTTCTGCTTTTGAGTAAATCATTAGGTAATCTTTTCTGATAAGCTAAACAGTTTAGAATCTTGCTTTTTTCAAACAAACAAACAAACAAAAATATATATATATTCTTCCATTTAAGGAAAGACCAAGAAGTGCAGTGGAGCAGCTGTGTCTTGCGGAAAGCACACGGCCTCGAATGACTGTGGAGGAACAGATGGAAAGAATAAAGAGACACCAACAAGCTTGCCTGAGAGAGAAGAGAAAAGGACTCAATATTATTGGTGTTTCAGACCAGTCTCCTTCACAGAGTCTGTCATTTGTCAGAGATAATCCATTCAAATTGGCACAGGTGGGTCCCATGTTATTAAAAAACTTTAATGTGTCCAATTAAAAAAAAAAAAAGTTACAAAATTGTTCTTTTTCCAAAAGCACATGATACTATAGGTGTTTGTATGAGATTGCTTGTATAGAGTAATAGTCACAATTCTCTGCCATACACAAGAGAAAGGGAGAAGACAATCTTCGTGCTTATACCTAATGATAGTAGAAGTCATGCCTTTGTCTTTTTAGAAAATAAATAGTTCAAATCTACATATGTTTGATTATGCATTGTGATGTTTAACGTTTTTTTGTCAAATTCAGCAAACAACATGAAATTGCAAGCTTTGTGACTAAAAGCAGTGTCAGGGAGAATCACGATTCAGTTGATGTATAAATTATGAATATTTTTCTGCCATGTAATATATTGAGACATCTGTAACGTTTTTAGGTAAGAATGTATATTTATGATGATAACTCTTAACTGGTGCTCTTTCGCTGTGGTTTTTGAGCCCATAAATACATAAAAATAGAACCCTCACTTTTGTTTTCACTCATTCTTAAACAGTTAAGAAGTGAGTTTATTAACTAGTTAAGGGTGGGGAGAGAGAAGGAAGATATAACTACTTGTCGTTAACCAGGAAATACTATCCTAAATATACGTTTAAAAAAAAAAAAAGACAAACACAAAACCCAACTAACAACCAAAAAACCTCACACTGCTTCAGGACAAAAATATCAAATAGATTCAGGGTAGTGGATGTTAGCCTACTACTTTCTAACTGCTAAGAATTAGTTTTCTTTTTTAATAGCTTAATGGAGTTATCTCCCCACCCCCACCCCAGTCTTCTGGCATAGTTTTTTCCTCAGACCACACTGGATTTGATTTTTTTCTTTTTTTTCTTTTTCACCCTGACATGGAAATGCCTTCTTTTGTTTTGTACACATTTTAACATCTGATTTTTCCAAAACCAGATTAAATGCACTGCACTATTAATAAGTCACATACGTATTTCCAAATAAGTTTTAGGTTGGTTTGTTTTTTTTTTTTTCCTCTGAGCATTCTAAACTGCCTTCGGAGCTATACAAAAGTTATTTTTCCTTCAACAACATTGGATCCCCAGAAGACTCTGAATTCAAGTTTTGCCTTTGCACTAGAGCATCTGTATTTGGGATGACATCATGAATGCTATATATGATGGGGGCTCCTACAAATATTTCTGTGATTAACACTGCCTTTCTCAAGAAGAACACATGCAAAGCTTTGCAGATCTTTCTTTTTGTAGTTTTTACAGAGGTGTTTGAGCTTTACCACTTCCCTATGATATCATTTCATACCTCAAGGTGAGGAAACTGCAGTCATGTATGCGTCATACCTGGTTAGCCAGCACATTGGGAGCAGGGTGGGGAAAGTGGCCAAATCCTCTGTGCCAGCACTACTTGCTATACAGAACTCAAGAGAATTTTGTTCATGTCAGCGTGTTCTTCGGTCTTCTGTGTGAAATCAGCGCTACATGGATGCGATAAGAAATTTATAGAATAAGTGAGAACGTGTCTGAATTGAACAGTTAGCTAGTAGTCAGTGTTACAAAATCACCTTTTCTATCACAACTGTAATTCTGCCAGAATGCTATTTGGCAAAAAGCCCCAAGATGAGGTATTACACTGTAGTAATAGCTCTTATTTTTAAAAGCATAGTTTCTATGCCTATTTATTTTTAAACAGAAAAATGGTGCAATGGTATTAACTGCTGGAAGTCTTTTCAGCTGGGGTTTGGTTATTTAAGAATTGGAGGAAAAAAAGAATTTTATAAACAGCCTACTGTACAATTTTTAAGTGATTACCAAAATACAAAAGGAAGTTGCTTCACAATTGTTATTGTTTGGGACAAGCGTATGATATGGGTCCATACTTTAGTTAGGAAAGTAAAGAGATTTATTTGTGAACTGACTTACATGGAATTTCCTCTTTAGCACAGTGCATGTGCTAAATCACAGGAATTCAGCCACAAGATTTGCTACTATCGTGGCTCCTATTTTTCTCAGCCCTAGTACGTAGCTTGATAAGACTTAGATGAACCGCACTTCAGTTCAGTTTGCTACTCTGCCAACATAACATTCACAGTTCACAATCTTAAGACACCTCTACCATCCTTCCTCAGAATTTTTAAATCAGTTTATTGTCTGTGCAATGGATATTTTTTTTTAAGGAATAAGTAATATCCTCTGCCATTATCAGATGCTATGTTGTCCTCTGTTAGATCAGTTAACAACATACGCTTGGGAGATACCCAAGATAACTGGAGAAAGTACATGCAGGTGCAGTGTGAATTTTGTATTGAGAGCAGATTTTTATCCATAATTTTTTTTTTAATCAGGAAAAGCTATTTTTAAAAAGAATGCTTCTAAGCCTGTGTGTGACTGAGCTAAATATGAATGGAATTTCAGAAGGTAAAGGTGACTAATAGAAATGCTGGAGATTTGGGCGGCAGAGGTGGTGCAGAAAGTACAGTAATCTTACAAAGAAAAAAATTATTAGACAGGCTGAACTGTTTTGAAAGGTACAAAAATGAGAAAATTCTAAGTCCGTGATGATTTCCATTTTCCTTATTGCAATGTGGTGTGCCTAAAGTTTTTAAGTTAATTTTTTATTATCACAGTCAGAGGACAGCACAAGACTCAGAACTGAGACTGTGATAACTTTTTTAAGAATATGTCTATATATCAATTTTGTTCCACAGAATCGAAAAAAGGATGATACTGTATCTGGTAACATGAAGGAATTAGAGAGCACCCGTAAAGAAAATAATTTGAAACAAAATAATGAAAGTCCTGGAGAAGAAATAGCACAACTAAAACATGATGGAGAACAAGAACATAATTCAGGTTTTATGAAAGAGGTACTAAACTATCCTGTAGCCAGTCTTGCAGTAGAAAAATATTTTGAGCCACAGACAGCAGAGTATGGGAAATTGAGCCAGTTCCTTTTGGTTGAAAGATTAAGATATCATTTTGGATATAACAAATATTCTATAGAGAAGTGCAAAATTGAATCAGATCTGTCTATAGTTGGGAAATTGAATTTTCTTGTAGATAGTCTTCCTAAATTTCATTTTACTTAACTTCATCTGTTACTATCTTGATTGATTGGAAAATTACAAAATTATGGTCTTTACTTCTTTGGAAACAAAAACAGTACTAATGTATCTTTAAATAATAATCATTGATCTGTTCATTGCTTAGAATGTCCCAGTGTCGTTTTTCACAATCATTTAATACACCTGACTTTTTTGTTCGGTTGTCTTTAGTGCAGCAAATAGTTTATAGGAAGCAGAATAAAGCTGACACAACAATTTATACATGGAAGTAGGCAGTAACTGTAGTTTGTGCTATTTGGTCATTGGATTAATTTCTGTCTTGAAATAGTCTCAAACTCACTTGGCAGTGAGTTACCTTGGTGTTTCTGGTACTATAGTGCCCTGAACACTCAGCAAAAGCAGACCGACTGTGAAGAACAGATTACTGGAGTGATTTCTACATAATAATATCCTACTTATAGTTGAATATTTTTTTTCCTCACTCATTTTTCCTTTTGTTTTGCTATTTTAGATTTTGCTTTTTTAAACATATGTCTGATGGAGAATGGTATAAAATCAAATAATTAACATCCGTTGTTATTCTTTAAAGACACTCTGTATGGAGAGTCTGTTGTTTTGTTAATTATGCAAATCTTTTAAAGGAAAATTATGTGATACACTTATATTGGTTATATCTATCTTATCAGACCTTTAAGAGCAGTGTTCAGGCTCATCAGCAATATATTCCAGTAGCTGGAATCTCTGTTGGCATTGTGAAGAGAAGGGATAGCATGAAAAAATAGGCAGGCTGCAATCCAAAGAGTTCAGATAACTTCTGGAAGTTATTAAGCCAAGCCCTGCCCATTGGCTCTGGTATAAGTTTCAGGATAACTCTATTAACCTGAATGGAATTGATAAAAATTTCTTAAGTTATGTAATTCTGAGTTACTAAGTATACATGATGGCAAAATTTGTCTGTTAATAAAACTGTTTCCTGAAACTGTATTTCTTACCTAACACTTAGTATGTGTTACAGCTTTTTGTTTCATGATTTCGATTTTTTTATAGCTGACAAAAACTGATGATCTTTTATCAGATGCACATGTTGTATCTGACTCAAAAGACGTGAGTAATGAAGAGAAAGCAGAAAAGGAAAAGAAAAATAAATTGGAAGAAACACATGATGGTGATATAAGGTAAAAATAAAACAAGATGTTCAGAGGCAATTCTAAACTTACACATTGTACTTATTAGCTGAACGGACGAAGCAACTAATGAAATACTGTCATAAATACTTATAAGGTATATTTATATGTTTTTGAGTGGTTTACATATAGAGAAATCTAGTAAGAAACCTAACCACTGTGGGGGTTCAGTAAGAGGTGATGAGTTGGTGGGAGGAGCAATGTTTATTTTCAAGTATTGCCCCAGTTATAAACAGAATATGTTCATAATCCTTGCTTTGGGATACAAAATGTATTTAGTAATGTCAGTTCAAGCTTTGTATCCGTTTATTATGAAAGCTTCAGCCAGGGCTTCCATAGCAAGCTCTTTACCACTGATATTTAGGAAAACATCACGTTCAGGAGCAGACTAAACAGCTTATTCTATATGGAGATATATATGCTTTAATGTTTTCTTCACTATTTTGGAGTATTGCAGAATTAGAGGAATATTGTGTCTTGGGTATTCCTCTTTAAGGATTCATAACTTTATTGTAAGTTATGTAGACCCTAAGTGAGGTCTTACATTAGGTCATAACTTACAGCACCCTTCAGCAAAATAGATATCACGCAGAAGGAAACTGCATGAGTATGTAGAGGAAAGGAATTCAGTATCCAGTGCCTTTTTTTTTAAGTCTTAACTTTACAAGGTAGAAGGGTTTCAAAATACGTGCTTAATTTATATTACACAAACTTGAAAGTTGCAACTTTTTTCTATTAACAGAAAAAAATTGAATTGTAACTCCTATGCTTAGTGGTTAGCACCTGAAATTAAGTTAGAGTGAGTTCTAAACGCTGTGCTTTTTTTAACCAGCTTGCAGAGTGTGACCACAGTTACAAACCACAAACCCAAAACCAGCTCAGAAGAAAGTGAAGTAGTTAGTGTTCAAGAACAAGGAGGAATTATTTCTTCATTTGAATTAGCAGCACAGTCTTCAAAAGGAAATCAAGCAACAGCAGGTATGGAAAAGAGTCTGACTGAAGCATAGCTTATATAGTACATATGTAAAACTCTTTTATTTTGGCCATGTCTTTTGATGCTCTGAAATCCTTGTGAATTGAAAGTGCTGAGCTAGTCTAGATGTCAAGTGTATGGTTTTATAACATAGAGAAAAATAGTTTCCCAGTGGACAGCTACAGAAATTCCATATTTCTGAGATTTTAATGTAGATCTTATGCTTGCATTTAATTCAGGGACTTAAATAACTATTGCTAGAAATGGAGTCATACTATAGTTGTTGCTTGGAGCAAATCCTTCCCTATTCATCTTGTAGAACAACATCTCAATCCCGGATATGTATAGATTATTTACTCTTACCTCCTTGCTGATGGATGGCCTCAGGTATGCCCAAGACTGAGGGATCCTTGAGAGTTTCAAATGTATCTAGTAGATTTTTGAACTAGCAAGTGAAAGACCCCAGTTTGGTCATGTTTTCAGGAGTAAGAAAAGATGAAGAAACAAAAACCACTAGCTGACTGGTGGTGTACTACTTTGCAAGAAGAAAAGGCTGGAGTAAAGCAAAATTGTTTGCAAAGAGAAAGAAGGAGGGGGGAGTGTGTAGGGGAGGAGGAAGGAAGAAGATAGAATTTAAGACATTATTAGGATATTTGGTGATGGGAATAGCTAAGTAAGCCAAGTGGTTCAATTTATGGATATAAAAGGTGACCTGGACCTTTGTAGTGCAGTCAGCAATCCTTTCTGTGACTTGATAATCAAAACCAGAACTTGTAAATACATATTATAGCGCTCAGCAGAATAAAAAATGCTTAGTTAATCTGAGCTGGGGTATAAAGCTGGGTCTGGGCGTATGCCGACTAGTTAGATTTTACTTTTTTTTTCTTTCTCTCTCTTTGCAACATACATAACACATCAGCATTCATGTGTCTGTTGTTTGTTCCTTAGGTGTACTACTTGTCATTTATAGGCCTGAGCAATGATCTTTCTTACGAACAGCTATGCTCTCCCCTGAACTCGTGCTCGTTGTGCTGATCAGATTTTAAGTCTTGACTTATGTAACTTTCATTTGGTTCTGCTTATATTTATTATGGCTTGAAATCATGCCTTCTGTAACTTGTATTCTTATTTGTCTTGCTGTATGACTCGCAGTGAAAAGTTTGCCTTCTTCACCAGAATCGTCATTGTCACCAGCTCCATCTACCCAGGCACAGCTCACAGAAGGATCACATTTCATGTGTGTATAGTTACAGAGAAGTACGTCTTTTTTTCTCACCCCTTCTGCCATTTTCCTAATATTTTTCTAAGGATATGTATTCTAGTTACTTTTCCGAGAAACATCTGTAGACAATACTTGGCAAGACAAAGTTGTCTGCAATGGTGAATATAAACTAACCAGAACACAAAACAAATACATGTATTGATTTGCTTGCAAGTAATTTATTCTCTATCCACATACAAAGAGAAAGGACTAATTGGCTTATCAAGCACATTCTCCACAACTGGCAAGATAATAGCCCTTTGAATTACATGAGACCTAAGCCGTTACAAAACGGATACCCAGTTAAGGTATGAGCATCAGTGCTCAGATGCAAATGAATCTTGATGCTTCAGTTGTGGTAACAGGCAACTAGAGCTAGATCTCTTAGTGATGCGTAGGAGGGAATGGTCTAATGGCCCAAAGAGTCTGTGCCTTAAGACGCAGATGACTGAGGCATGACAAAGAGGAAGGGAAAAAATGAGGGTGGAAGAAATGTAGCAATTACAAAACTTTTTTTTTTTTTTCCTTTCTATGGAGATAGCCCCACAGAGCTTCTCTTCCCTTGTTATAGTAGGTGATGTCTTCTAGGAATCAAGTCAGAAAGCATGAGTTAGGCTATATGTACATGCTCCTGCCTGTAGTGTTACGTACTTAATGAATGGAAATATAAGTAAGCATATTTGCTTATACAAGTGTTTAAAGAAATTAATAGGATGCCAATGTGAATGCGTCAGCACTTTACCAGCAATTAAATCAATCCACATTTCTTTGTTGTCAGGAAGTACCTGTTTAAATAAGCTTTCTACTAAAAGAATGGACTTTGTTTCAATAGTAATGTTAAATGCCATAGCTAATGTAACTTAAGAAAACTTTAAAATCAAGAAAACATTAAAATTGAGAGGTTTTCAGTCATTTAGCATGAGGAGATCTGAAAATGCCTTTTTTGTTTGTTTACTGTCCCAGTCCATATTGCCAAGCTTTAATCTTAGCAAAATAAGACTTATTCATCACAGACACCTTTGTTGCATGAACTACGTCCAGAAGACTATTTATAATCTTTAAAAAAAAAAAAAAAAGGAAATTTTCATCTTTTTCTGCTTTTGAGAGAGTGGAAAATGCACGCCTCACATTCAGTACTGACACCTGTGTTGCTGGCTTCTGGATGGATGTGGTCTGTCATGATTAGATTTAGCCTGGACTTTTGTACTTTTATTGAAGTTTTATTAGAGAACTATTTAAAAAAGATGAGTGGGACTAATCAGTTTTTCTGGAAATACTGATTTCTGTCAATGCTTTTCAGTTTCACTGTATAAATACACATGTATTTATCATGCATCTTCTTTTTAAATAAGACAAGCATTACCCCCTCAACTCAGTTTCAGGTCAGTAGTGAAACTGAAACTGCACTGCTGAATTCTGTCCGTAACTACAGCACGCCTCTCTTGAAAGGGGAAGCAACCTTTAGCTTCACCGGAAATTTTTTTACCAATTGCATTAAGTTGCTTTCAGCTCTTGTCATCAGCTCCAGTGATCAGATCAGCAAATTCATTTTTTTTAAGTATTTATGCTAAATGTGAGATTAGTGAAAGTGAAGCACTTGTATAGCGATCTGCTTTGTAAGTTGATGCCCAAGCCTTGACATCCCACAGCATGGTGTATCCTCCTAAGTAATACTATAGCTGTAACTTTTCCGTGTTAAATACGATTTTACAAATAGGCCTTAATTGCTTATGATAAAATGGAGCATCTGGGGTGGCACTTGTAAAACTAATGCTCTGCTTACACATGCCTCGCTATAATGAAGCAAGGATTCCAGAACTGAAAGTACACCCCTTTTGGCTGTTTAGTATTTGAATTGAGTTGGAAAAAGTATCCAGCTATGTGCATATACATTCCACGCTTCTTTGCTGCACTTAATGCCTCCGTTGGTTGTTTCCTAGGAGCTCCAAAACAAATTCATGCCATGAGCTGGGCCTAGTATAGGTAGGAGATGTCTAAAGCACGGTCTGCTTGCCTGCGGTATTTACTGCCCCTTGCCTTCTGGGGCTGCCGTTCCGGTGTTCCAGTGTTTTGCGCTTTGTTGAAAGACGGGGCTTTTAACGTGCGAGAACTCAGTGCCTCTCAGGTGCAAGAAATCCTATGTGGCAGAGGGAACTTCAGAGCTGTGGGATCAGCCCTGTTCATATGTAACCAAATTTTTCAGGCAGCATCTGGAAAATGTATGGTAGATTTCAGAGACTAATGAAGTAATACCTAGATTTGGCTTTTACGGTCAATTAGTAAAATGATACTCTTGGCACGGTGCCAGGGGAATGTGGCATAGGAAATTGGTGGCACAGGGTATTGTAGGACTAAGGAGAAACCCATTAACACAAAGCTACTTTCTTTGTCACGGCTCTTGCTTTGCAGAGACAAATCTGGACGTGTACCACTAGCATTGTTATGTTTTAAGCATTACATTTACACTGAGTAATGGAGGGATAATGAAATTTTATACAGCACCTGGATCCAAAGCTCAGAAACATTTTTACTAACGAACCGTTAAAAGCTATTTGTAAAAGTCCTTTCAGCAATTACCAAAATGCAGCGAGCTGTGGGTGGAGCACTTGAACTTCAGAACACCTTACAGCCACGCTGCCATTACGGTGCAGCAGCTGAATAATACTGCATCCCTCTTCAAACTGTGCCTGTCACTTGTAAGAGCAATGAGGGTCTTTGCTATTATTACCAGTTTCATATGAAGAACATTTGGAGAAGGCAGTGTACAACAGGATGAAACTCTCAGAATAAACAGGCTTTCATACGAAGGGTAAATCTGAAAAAAGCTTGCTTTTGCTTCTTGCTGTAAAAGTATCTTGACAGCAGTATTATTCATCAGGAAAATCGATTTTGGAAACAACTGATTTCTAAAATACTTCATGTTCTACACCACTGGTAACTACTGCTAGGGTGAGGTCAGAAATTCCTTGCTGTGTTTAATCCCAGGAGTTGCTTTATACAATATTCTGTTGTTGCTAAAATAGAGTAACTTAATCTATGTCTGTCTTTCAGCACTAATGGCTTCTGTTGAAACAATTCATGGCTGAGATGTATGGACCTGACCTATGAAAAGATGAGAAGATATTGTACAGTATATTTTAAATCTATGAAATTCATAGTTCTGATGCTTTTGGCCACAGAGCATCATTTTATCACTTCCTGGAAAATGTTTATTCCAAGAGAGCTTTAAATGGCCCACATGTACACTCGACAACCTTCAGATTGTTCTCCTGATACCAGCTTGCTGCTATGATTTCTGTGCACATAAAATAAAGGCTCTTTTTCATGTGCAGCCTACAGTCAGAACTTTGATATTCTCCAGAATTTAATGTTCTTTTAATTATGGATCCTATAAGTTTACTTTTTTGCTTGTTTTAGATGCATAACTTGGTTAATTTTACATATCACCACTAAACCTTGTTTTACACTTTTTAAACACTACAATTTATTGGTTTAACATTTTATTTGTAAAATTTTTATATATATATGCATATAGATATATTTAAAATGTGCCATTTTTATTATTGCTTAGTAAAATATGTCCTGTTTCTGCTGTAATTATTTCTTGGTCAGGTTGCAATGTCAGCAGTTACTGCCACACTTCTGTCAACATACACATTAATGTTAGTGGTTACTTTTTCTTAAATAAAATGGAGTGTAGGTATTTTGAGGTACTGGGCTTTTCCTTCGTTGGGTTAGGGTGTGTACAGCAATAAGCAGGTTTTCAATCCAGTACTTAGTTTGTGTACAAATGTAATTATGTTCATTGTGTATATATTATACAATGAGCACATACGATGTAAGTATAAGAAGCCACTTATTATTGTTCAAATACAAATGTTCATATCTCATTTCTTTTATATCATATTAAATAAATGTTGATGTTCTTAAGGACTTGTATGGTTAGTATTTCTTCCAGCAAACAGATGTCACACTGTGTTCCACCTTTTGCTGTGGGGAATGCAACGATTCTTATCTCATTGGCGACATCACCTGTCAACCAGAGTAGCAGTGACAGACTCTTCAGAGATTCCAGTCTTCCTCTATGGGAAAGAATAAGGCTGCAAGACAGAACAAAAAGACAACCTGAGACTGAGACGCAAGAAATGCAGGTTCGGCTCCTGACTCTCCCAGACTTGTATCGTGATGTTGGAATAATCACTTAGTCATTCTGTGCCTCCGTTCCCTGCCTGTTTACTTGAGAGGTAATAGCCTGTCTTGCTGGGGCGTGGTGAGTAGTAATTCAATATTTGCAAACGTTGAATGCCACGCTCAGTGGGGTTAAGGAGAGAAGTATGATCATTCCTTGAGGCTTTGACATCTGCAAAGCATCTTCCAGAAATGGAAAGAAAACCTGAAATAATTTGTCAAGTGTCATCGTACTACAGACGTTACTAGCTTCGCTATTCCATCTCACACAGCTGTCTGAATTTGCCTGAGACAAAAGAGGTTTAGAGAAGAATGATGAAAAATGGAAAGATTGAAGGGAAAGCTTTTGAATCTAGGATGTAAAGCTAAGAAATCTTTTAAAGGTTCAGGCAGCTGCTGTGTGCCTCAGTGCATGTGTGTGCCATAAGCGGTAAGGCAAGTTTCATAAGAAGATGACTGCCAGCTCCTGTTGTGCTTTTTCATCATACAAATCATATCCTGTTCAAGTTAATATTGCTGTACTAGAGACTGTATAATTCATTGTGCTTTTCCATAGAGGAGTGCCTGAGATTGACACACAGTTTGAAATTAACTCTTTGTCATTGCCCCCCTAAGTAGGAGTTTGTGTTCGTTGTAATCTTCTGCCACTCCCAGCTCTGCCGCCAGTTCTTCCTGGGGCTCTTTGCCACAAAGACACGGAGTACGCTGTCTGTCTACCTGTCGTTTTGCCATTTTCTTTGAAAAGTGAAGAAATAGGAAGCAGAATTTAGCAGCAGAGCACGGAGGGTCATAGTGAAAGAGATGGCTGAAGGAAAGAGGCTGAATCATGATGCAGGCAGACAGCATCCAGACGAAAGTTTGGCCAAATAGCCCTCCTTTTTTTTGGAACAGTAGCCCCAAATTAGCACATCCTCCCATCCAAAACACAGAGCGAACAAGAGGACCGTGATTTTTATTGCTCAACCATCTGAGGTTTAAGTTCAGTGGCATCACTGGAACACCTGGGGCAAAGCAAACACGACACACCCTGTTCTCTCCCTAACCCTTCGAGAAAGCGCAGTTCAGCTGTCGACCGTTGCAGTCTCTTTCCGTCCTTGCTGCCAAGAAAAGAATTGCAACCAATAAAGGAAAGAATGACTAAGTGGTTTTTGGACATTTATAGATTTTGTCTGTGTTTAAAGCAGTTGTCAGTTTGGTGTATCTGCGAAGTACATGCAGTTTATACTGAAGCTGGGGGAGGGTGGGAGAATTAGCACGTTTTTGCTGGTATAACCGTTGGCAAGGCCAGCGAACGTCAGTGATGCGGGAATGTATTAATGCTCATAGGCTGTAGTTTCACTTCCAGTGGGCACTTGCAGCAAAGACTTGCAGTTTCATTGGGTGCTCTATTTGTTTGTGTCTTATGGAAAAAAATGTACGGCTTTGTGTTACCACAGAGCATCTACTGTCTCTTACCTCATCGGAGTAACTCATCCCAGCGATCATACGCCTGAGACACAGAAATCTCAGAATACGGATATTGTCAGCCTTCAAACATCTACTTTAAGTTTGTATCTAGGATATTTTTATATTTCTGACTGATTGCTTTATTGGCTATTGCACTGACACTTGTATATATGGAACATGTGCTTTTTTTCAAAAGCAAGAGTCCTTAGGAATAATGCAACACATTCTCTACAGATGTTCATGCTTTTCAGAACCAATTACATCTATTTTTGTCTTTTGTTCACCATTTGCATTGTTCCAAGACTACTAGAGAATGTGATTCTTTTAAGTCCCTTAATAAAGTGACATTACTCAAAAAGTTATAGTTGGTGTCTTGGCAGTTTTTGTATGTCGTGGACTGGCTCAAAGAGAAAGACCTCAGCAGGCAGTTGAAACCTAAACCTTGTTTATATTATTACTGAGGGGGGAAAAAGTGGTCTTCAGTTCATATTTCCTCATAAATATATCTGTCATAAAATGAATCCAATAAGGTTCTATTTTCAGGAAATCAGAAAAATTTTCAACAGTTCATTTCTATCTAAGTCACTTTAATTGGACAGTCTGGGAAAGAATTATTACCTACGCTATTGGATCCACTAGAGGTAGTAACCAGGAGTACGTACATGAAAAACATTAATAGATTACACTGTTAGTAATAGATCTACTAAATTCTCTAGTACTTGGACTGGTGGCTTAAATTGTATCCTGGTTGACTAAAGCAGCAGAGTGGAAGATCTTTAATCAGTGGTGGTGCTGGATAACTCTTAACCCAAACTTCTCATTATATTGTAACAAGAAAGTGGGGGTTTTTCTTTTCTAATAAAACAAACCATAAATAGTACTCGTTCAGATCTCAGAAGTGGGCCATCATGTCTTTTCTTTTCTTTTGTCCCTGTGATCCTGGATTTTCCTATACTTATTTTCTTAAGTTATTCTAGGGTAGTTTAATCTTATTTCAGTTTGAATCCTCAGTTAAAATGTTATTTTCCATCCTTTGGAAAGTTGACATTTAAATGGCCAATGAACAAATTGCCTATACCTGGCATTAATAACATATCTGAAACGACTTAAACTTTTTTAAGGATGCACGTGAAGATAACAAAGCAACATCTGGCCTTCATTTCTTCTAAAGAACATTATATATACTTGCTGTTATATCCTCGGAGCTGTTTAGCTTGTCCATATGGGAACACTGAAGAAGCTGCTACAAAATAAAATGGGATATACTGGTGACTGAAAGCAAACGTCTGGCCCAAAATGAAGGCTAAAAGCAGCTGCTTTCTGAACTTGACACACACAACTTGTTACCCAGCTGTTCCAGATGTGTCAGTATTCAAATGTTCCTTGTGGAATGAAGTTTTTAGTATTTTTATTGTGATGTTTCTTCATTCTGTCGTATGCCAAAGAAAATGTTTTTAAGGTCTGTCTAAATATTATCTAGCTGCTGTTGTGAAACTGCAAGCAACTCCTCATTGTAGCTATGGGTAAGTAACATCACCGCGGTGGTTGCTGATTGCCTCACGCGGCAGCCTTGCTATGGATGTGTTTAAGAACGCTTCTTGAGGCTGGGTTAGGTTCTGTTTGGAATAAAAGAAAAAGCTGTGAGCAAATGGTGCCGTTTCCAGTGGACTGCTGTAGAGTATAGCAGGACAAAACCAGATGTGATCTCATTAACTTCTTTATTGCTGAAACCAAACCTAAAATAAGGAATTAATTTTTTGTCAAATTCTATCCAGATCTCTGCTCTATGGCACAGGAATACTTCAAAGAATTTCAGACTAAAAATGGAAACACCCTCTTCCTCTTTTGAAGGTGAAATGAGTACTGGTTTCAAAAAAAAAAAAAAAAAAGCAGACCCCGCAGGTTTAACTTTATACGTAGAAGCAGTAAGACTTACTGACAGCCTAGAGGTTTGGTCAACGAAAACTGTCAGAAAAATACCTGATCCGCATCTGTTGTCATGCGGTAGTTTTCCTGAATCCCAGGGCAGTGACTGGCACTGTCCAGACTCTCTTCTGCAACTTCAAATCCACTCCAGCCCAATGTATAAAATATTCTGCATTCCTTGTATGGAGAAAAAATGCCTCATGCATACAACGGCTCGCTGTCCCTACGTAAGCAGCTGAATCCCGGCCACCAGCTTCTTGCTTGAAATCACAAAACCCTGCAGGTCCTTAGCATCTTGAAAGATCAAGCTCAATGCATATCATGTGAGGCACCCAAGATTTCCAAGTAACTTGCATATGAATCTCCCTTATTTTCAGCAGTAGATTCTATTTGGAAGAAAAAAGATTTTTTTGTTTCAAAGTACTAGTCACCTTGCTAGAAATCAAATAATTAGTAGGTACAAACAAATACATAAGCATTTGAGAAAGTTGTCATTAATTGACAAGAGTACATTTCAAAGCGATTGAAGAAAAAGCTGCAAAATTCAGCAACTCTCAACTCATAAAAATCACCTCTTCACAATATTAATTTCTGCTGAGTCTTGACACTGATTACACGTGTAGTCGACTGCTCTGTATTGTGCAGCTTTGTTCTTGGTAAAATCCCAAGTCAGCAAAAATGCGGAGGCTGTTTCAGATGTTTTAGCTTTAAAGATGAATGATTTTTATTTTTAATATTCTCATGCTCATCCACCAGTCTTGGAAACAGCCGTTAGTGGCTATTGCATTTATTCCTTTTATATGCTGAAATGGTCATATCTAGAGAGAGAGAGAAAAACAACAACTGAACTTTCCGATTAATGTTTTCTCATGTTTGTGACTGCTGCTATTCCACGTTTGATTTCGGGCTGCCTGGAGACAGTCTCGGAGAGTTTACACGGCAAGAGCTGGTACTGCCCAGAAGCCAGCTTGTGTGTGAGTGCGGACTTGCCGAAGGCGTCGTTTCGTGAGCTAGGAGATGGCCTGGAAACCAGGGATTGTTTGATCTGAGGCACCTTTGAATAACATTTCTGGCTGTTTTCTTAGCCTCTGCCAATATACCTATAACATTTTGTAACTACTGTTTCTAGTATATTGTGCCTACAAATATTTTTAATAAAGACAAAGTGCCTGGATAATGTGTGAGATCCTGATCGCTATTTACAAGGTAGCAGTTACTAATTAGAGAAGCAGCCTCTCAGCCACTTAGGAGATTGTGTTAGTGAAGAGGAATTGGTTAATACTCAAATGAATTGCAACATTGGGAAAACCATGCGTGCTTATATAATCTCATTTTTTGGAAGAGGGGGGGATAACTACTCTGAACTCTCAGCATTTTATTTTAAAACTTTTATTCCGTGATCTTAAAGCTATTCCATTCTCTGTGATCAGCTAAATATAACCTAGCTGAGCTCCTCTTCATTTCCATTATCCAGAATTTAGGACAAGGAAGAACAGAGGTCATGACATTTTGATCATTTTTGCCTCATTAAAATCTTGTGGACCCCAAGGAGCACGGTTAGGTCATGTTTGTAAAAGATAGGAGTCTAAAGCTTTGCTTTGAGCCATGCCTATTTCAGAGAAGTGCTCTGCATGAATTACCATACATCTTCCCCTGTCTGTCTGGTTCCAGACTAGGGCACTTCAGTTATTTCACCTTTGAACAGAATCCCTAACTTTTACAACGTTTTCAGGCAATTAATCATAGGCGGTCTGTGAAGTCTAAGAT